AGAGAAGAAAGAAGCTATGAATAATAAATGTTATTTAAAAAAAATAAAAAAATATGCATTCCTGCCACACCTTATTATATATCAGACATGCTTTCCCACAGCCAGACGCTCCTCACAGCTTCAAACATTGGTGTAAATTCCCCAAAACAAACTGATACACGTCAGTCTTACACACATTGTGAGACGACAGAATCTGAAGTGATATAAAATAAATAATCGTACTGTAAACTTAAAGCTTCCTTCAGCTTTTAAGACTTTTGGCTGGTTGTTGAACAGGAATAAACATCACTGTTCAACCGTAGGTGTTAATGCAGTCAGTGTGCTATCAACACCTAACATGTTATATTTTCACTGAAACAGCTGTTCAGTGACTTTTACCAATACCATTTATGTCAACAAGACACAGACTGTCCAGAGTGATCTCCGGCACCACCTGGTGGATTTACAGGACTTCATACTCAAAACACTGCTGCAATAATAACACCATTTGTCATATTTTTCTCATGGTATTATTTTGTATTGACCCACTGCAAACTGATATGTGAAAAACTGGTTCAAGTATGTGTTGACCCGAATTCGGAAATACAACTTTTTAACTTAAATGTTAAGTTAATGTTATGTTGTTTTTAGCAATGGCCATGTTTTTTTTATTTTATTTGACAAGGTTTTGATATTTCTGGTGCAACCAAATACAACTTGGATTTGTTTTGTTTTGCTCACAGCATTGAACACTGATATTAAAATGTAAGCAATGTGATTCAGAAACAATTTAACGGAAACGTTTTACTGTGGAACTTGTCTGGGAAACTGAATTTCTTGAAAATGGATCATATATAATCCATTCTAATCTTTAACTGTCACATTGCAACAGTCATTACAGTATGTCTGCATACTGTCACCTGAAGAACATATCTAGGATTAAAAAACTAATGTCACAACAGGACTTAGAAAAGCTTGTCCATGCTTTTATCTTTAGTAGACTCGACAACTGCAATAGTGTCTTCACAGGGCTGACGAAGAAATCCATCAGAAAAATGCAGCTGATTCAGAACGCCGCTGCTCGAGTCCTCACTAACATTAAAAGAGTGGATCACATCAGTCCGGTTCTGAAATCTTTACACTGGCTTCCAGTCGGTCAAATAATTAATTTTAAAGTACTATTGCTAGTTTTTAAATCATTACATGGTTTAGGACCAAAGTATATTGTTGATCTCCTACATAATTTCGAACCATCCGGAGGCCTGTACTACGAAGCTGGTTCAACCTAACCTGGATATGTTTGAGTTAGCCGGTTGGCCTAATCCAAAACATACGCGCTCTCGCTAAACTGTACTACGACGCGGGTTATCAAGTGGATCGCTCAAGCCAGCCGTGTCCTATCTAGTTAGGTGCGCGTTCACATGAAAGGGGTGGTATTTGGAGCATTCGACCAATCACAAACATGGACAAGCGTACTGACAGCGCAGCGTCATACTTCCTGAATGAAAAGTCAACTATAATATTAGACAATATGAAGAAGTTAAACTTTAAACATCCATGACTTAAACACTTTATCCAGGATAAAAGCCACATAGCTGCACCTGCAAGGTGAATACAGCTGGTAACAGAAAAAGTGTTAGAATGCGTACACTAACAGGTTTATGATATCACTAAGACACGAGTGGATCTGAATTTAATTACATTTGTCTCGAGTGTTTCGTCAACTTAATATGTTGCTTAAAATAATACTTCCGCATACAGTATGTGACACTATAAGTGTTGCACGGCCAGATACTACTTAGCTGACTCAGATAAGGAAATATATGATACATTATGATGTGATATGCTGTATGACTGTAGCCTACTTAATGTTACTCTGATCCGATTACTTATGTTGTGGCAGATATTTAAGTAAGCTTTCTTAACGCTAATGTTTTTAATAGTCAGATTGCTCTGAACATGGGAGGTGATATTCTATTAATGTTCACGTTCACACAGTCGGACGGTGATTTTTGCCCCGCCGTCTCTCGTGCAACGGCAGCTGTTCTGTATGTCCTTTTCCTGTAATATGGACTTATCAGCTTACACTCCGACACTGGAGCCTCTGATTTGGTCAGCATGCATGCTTTCACGGTTGAGGCTCTTTGGCCTTCAAGCGGCCGGTTTTTAGAGAACGACATAACTGCGGGGGCGAGTGAGAGCGCCTCACGCATAAGGTGGTACACGCGAGACTTAGGCGCGCTGCCAAAAACGAATAAACTCAGCGTTCGTGAGGACCGGGAAACCCCAGAAAGATTTTTCGCGCTGAAGTGTGAGGCCGGCTAAGCGAACTTCCTGCCTTCGTAGTTATAGCCCCCTGTTGTAGATGAAGCGACAGGGCCAAGCCTTGGCCCAAAACCCCCCAAAAAACCAAAGACTGGACTATTTTTGCCGTCTTTGCGAATCTTGGGGTAGAAAACTATGGCCGGGCGCCCGGAAAAAACGATTAACATTTCCAAGCCCGAACAATTTCAGGCGGGGTCGTCGGGTCCGGGATCTGATCGCTCCAAAGGGCGGCCCTATCCAGTGCGCCCTCCCCCACCTGCCTCCGGCCCTCCTCCCGGTTTGGGGGGGTCTGTTTTGAACTCGTTATTCCCAAAGGTGGGTCGGACGGCGTTTGTAACACGGTAGCGGATGCTGCGGGTTCCTTGCAGGGTGCTCCGGTTAGGGACTCCCACGGGCGGGGCTAGTGATCCGCGGCACGAGCGGGGCCGCGTGTACGGATTTAACCATTTGGGCGCCGCGCCCCATGGGCTGTAATTTGTAGCCTGTAAGGCACCATGGCCTGGTGGGGGGGTGGCTGGTAGCACGAGGGTAAGGCAGCCGACACGCCACGCGTGTTCAGGGGACATTTTCCACACTACACATCGCAGTGAAGGATCAGAGCTGACGATCTCTGGTTTGGAGTATGTCCTATTCTTCTCGCCCCTGACCGCTCATGGGATCCATGTTAAGACCATTTTGCTCAAAGAAGAGGAAAGTAAGCTCTTCATGGTGAGCAGGTAATCAGTTATCAGTGATGGCGGCCGGCAAAGGCGTCTCACCTTCTGAGAGGAATTTCGTCTTTATGTCATGATGTAGGGATACAATACTGAATAGTTTAGCATGAGAAAGAAGGACATTCCGCGAACTAATGCCTATGTTTATTCTAGCTTAGGGTAATCAATGTGGGAGACAGGGAACAGACGCAGGTATCGCGCGAGTCTCTCTGTCGCTCGATGTAACACGCCGTGAGTCCACTGGTGCGGATGGCAGTCAGTGGTACGCGGAGCCTCAGCTTCGGATAGATGCGTATTGTTCATGACGTTCTTTGTAATGTGTCTCTTCTCTCAGAAGGGTAATTTTTCGTTGCTTTTGCTTCTATAGTTTTGTGCATATATCTTATATCATTCTCTCAGACAAAGCTTTTCTTACGTGAAGCCCTCTCCCAGACCCTCTTTGCGAATTTGTTTATGTTTGACTGAACGTGTTTATAGGCGAGTTGGCGCGCATCTGAGGGGATGGAGGTTGAACTACGTTTATGTTCTGCTGCACGATTACATAGACTAGCTACTATTCTGCCTACGCTTTGGGGAGCTTTGAGTCTTCAATATCAAATCGTCGCAGAGACTGGGGACTACATTTCGACCAGGCAGTCTTCTGTATTTACATTCGTCATGGATTGTTAAGATTCAATGCTAAAGAGGTTACTGCCTCTATATTTATAATTACTCCACTTCACCCTCTCATGGGAAGGTATAAGGCTTAGATGAAGTTGCAGCTCGAAGGCAGACACGCAGGACAGATGTGAGAGGGTGTTGCATTCTGTAGCCCTGTGATATTTTATGAAGTGACTGGAGGAAAATGAGCCAGCTCTTAGATAATTGTACATGCTGGACTGCTCAGATCGCCAGAATTTTAAGAAATACAGTGGGGATATTGAGGACACAGGGAAAACATTTTAGACGTACGTGGGCATCATGTGGACCGCAAATATAGATGAGGCAACAATATTATTTGAACATTTAAGTCCAATGGCTACATTCCTACAGCGTGCATTAACCCAGTCTGAGTGTGGCGTCAGATCAGTCATCAATATTAAATTAAATCGCTCCAGGATGAGTGCTATCAAATTCACTTGAGGTATTTTCATTTGTGTATTCTTATAATCATCAACTATCTCTCCAATGCAACTCAGCGAATATTTATTCTAATGGGGAGATAATATAATGTCAAATACATGGCGAATTAAGGACATTTTAATTCATATACAAGAACGGACATACTGAAATTAATAATCAAATATTTTCCATTCTCTTCACTAAACATGGATGAAATTACAAAATTAGTACCACAAAGAGAAAACAAAGCCAAGAAGGAAAAATCACAGCAAAAGAGGAAGGCTGAAAAACACCAGACATCATGTTCTACATGCTGAGGTAATAGGCCATAAGAGATGTTGTCGAGCACCCTCGTTAAAAATGCAACCAGGATAATGCAAGGACCAAATCCTCTATTTTTTTTTCGTGGGAGCGGACCCCCCCCCAACCGAACAACCACCCCACCACGTTACAAAGGTCCCACCCGACATTACCAGCGTGCTTCCTGTACGGCCCACATGCCTCTCTACGGACATTTGATTTTTCTTTAATCTAAAAC